ATGAGGATCCAGATTGTTGTGGGCAATATGCTGATATTTGTAAAAAGCTCAGAGAGTTCTTTATAACACTATGGAGTGGTATATAAGTCTAAGTATTATTGCTATTAATACTGTAGGTCTATAAGAAGCAAACTGTCTAAAATGTTGTATGATATGCCATGTTTTGGAGAATAAGCAGAGATTGCACAAAATTTATTTTCAGGAACTGTAGTATTAACACTTAAAAAAAGCTGACCTGAATTTCAAATTCATACTATATTTCTACCTGCCAGTTTTTTTTCAGAACTAATGCTTAAAGATGAAATGTGTGGTAGGAAAATGAGATATATGAAAAACATGAGGTACTGTAACTATAGGACCATATATCAAATCAAAGTGATTGAAACATCATGACCTCCTATGGTTTACTAAAATACAATCTAAATGCTAATAAGAAATGTTGATTGATTATTGCTTTATTTATTTATTATTATTATTATTTTTTACTAAAAATAGACTAAAGAGACAAGAGATTAAAACAAACTAAAAAAAAAACCCACAGGTTTAAAGGAAAGACAGAGTGGTGGCTTCTCTATTACTATGTTAGCCATTTCCAACCAACAGCTTCTTCTTCAGGGCCCCATGCCAATCGGCATAGCCAAGTTATTTCCTGAAGACCAGAAGGGTGGGGGTGGACCTCAGTTCCTTGGCTGAGGGGGTCCATAGTAGACCTCTTCAAGCAGGAGTCATGAGTCTAGAAAAACTCCCAGGTTGCGTACCAGGCCTGTCTGGGGTTGACCCCACCCCATCCAGAACGAAAGATGAGCAATGATGATAAATTTCCTGATCCCATGGTTCCGTGTATCCATAGCCACTCTGTCTTATCAGGGTCATATCTAACAAAATGAAATTCAATTGTGAGAAAAGTAAGGTTCTACATTTAAGTTAGAAAAGCCAACTGCACAGATATAGAATAATGGTACTTGGCTCAATAGTAGCAATTGTGAGAGGGATTACTTGACCAGGGCTTTTCAACCTTTTCACCCATTGTGCCACTTTTAGGATATGGCAACATCCATGTACCACCAATCGCCTAGCAAGGTGTCAAAAGCTTGATGATCAAAAAAAAAAAAAAAGGAAAAAAGTGATAAAGTACAGGTAGTCCTCGACTTACAACAGTTCACTTAGTGACTGTTCGAAGTTACAGTGGCACTGAAAAAAGTGTCCCCCAAGCCACAGCCAAGCAAGACACCTGCCCGCCCACCAGGAGGCACTCTTCCTCCTGTCTGAGGTTTCCATTGTTGTGAGCATTTCTGTTGAGGATTGGCAGTGGTGGTAGGGTGGTGGGGGTTTAGGTTTTATTCCCCCCATCTGCTGGGTGGTTGCAGCAGGTTTTGGTCACTTCACATGACCCTGGGACATTGTGACCGTCATAAATATGAATCAGTTGCCAAGCATCTGAGTGTAAATCACAAGACCCTGGAGATGCTGCAACATTCCAGCTGATCGGTGCTTCTTCTGGGCTCAGCAGAAGTGCCAGGATTAGTGCTGCTTTCCAGCTGATTGGTGCTTCTTCAGGGCTCAGCAGAAGCAGAAGGATCAGTGCTGAGCTCCAGCTGGAGCCTGGTGCTGATCCTGGCGCTTCCGCTGAGCCCTGACAGCCCTGCAGCTCTAGCCATCTCTTGCTCAGGCTTGTGCGGTGCTGCCACTGGTTCAGCTCATTCCCCTCCCCAGCTACCACTTTTCTAGGATGGTCGCGTACCACCTGCCAGGTGCCAGTGTACCACATGTGGTACCTGTACCACTGGTTGAAAAGCCCTGTCCTTGACGATTACTTAAATATGAGCCAGCAGTGTGCTGCAGCTGCCAAAAAAGCCAACACAGTCCTAGGCTGCATTAACAGAGGAATAGAATCAAGATCACCTGAAGTATTAGAACTGCTTTATAAAGTATAAGGCCACACTTAGAATATTGCATCCAGTTTTGGTCACCACAATAAAAAAAAGATGTTGAGATTCTAGAAAGAATGCAAAGAAGAATAACAAAGATTATGAGGGAGGTTGGTAAAACATATGAAGAAGTGTTGCACGAATTAGGTATATCTAGTGTTTTGATATCTAAGGGGTTGGCACAAAGAAGAGGGAATCAATTTATTCTCCTGAAGGCAGAACAGGAAGCAATGGATGGCTACTAATCAAGGAGAGAAGCAACCTAGAACTAAGGAGAAATTTTCTGACTAAGGAGAAATTTTCTGACAGTCAAAACAATTAATCAGTGAAATGATTTGCCATCAGAAGTTGTAGCTTCTCCAATCCTGGAGCTTTTAAGGAGTTTGAACCGTAAGCCATAAGTCCTGCTTGACTAGAAAACCTCCAAGGTCCCTTCCAATTCTGTTATTCTGTTATAGTTCATGTATATGTTAAAAAGGAGTAGAGACTACCAAGCTCTACCATACTCCACAAAGGGAAGCCATCGACTGGATCTCTCATTCCATGTCAACTCCATTGGAATTGACTGCAGAGAAAGAAACCCAACAGCACCATACTGCACCACCCAGTCCCAAACCCTGTAGCCAGTCTGAAAGGATACCCTGGTCAATGGTATGAAAAGCTGCCAAGAAGTTGAGGAGGGTGAGGATGGATGCTCTACTCCCAACCCATGCTTGCCAGTGATCATTCATCAATGCAACCAATGCCATTTCTGTACCATAACTGGCCCAAAACCTGCCTAAAAGGAGTCTAAGATAATCAGTTTCATAATTCATTTACTTCATTTTGTATGTGCTTCCTCTTTGTACTGCCATTTTTTTTCAAATAAGATTACATTGAAATTTCACAAAAATGTTTTATCCCTGGGAAAGGAACTTTTCTGAGTTTCTTTTTAGTGCCTTTCAAAGGAAGAATTTCTTGCATTTTTTTCTCCTTATAATAGTTCTGAGTATACTATTATAGGAAATTATAGTGGGTGATACATCTATTGTAATACACTAGCACCTTTTCATCCCTTGATGATTTCTTTTGCTGCCCAAGCTTGTGATGCCTCACTTTAGGATTTAATTAAGGTGAAGGAAACCAGGGAGGCTGCAGACCACTGAAGAGAAGAATATACAAAGAAAGACAAATACACTCACAGAAACCCCAAGGACTCCGTGTATCTAAAGTGCAAGAACATCCTATTTCACACATAAGAATTGCATAGGAAACCAGGAAAAAGTCAATAGAATAAAAGGAAGTAGCACAGCTAAGGAAAAGGGGAAAAAATGGCAGACTGCATTGTTTGGCGACCCCCGTGAAATGGTCGTTCGACCCCAAATGGGGTCCCGACCCACAGGTTGAGAACCACTGTCCTAGATAAACTTAATTTTTGCTAATGTAAAAACACTGAGAGTATACAGTATAGTGCTAGAAAGGAGAAAATCACCGAAGGCTCCAGAAAACAGCGTTCATTTCTTTCCCCAAGAGAGTCTAAATTGGCTTCAGATAATGTTCTGTTCATGATGCTAACATTTGAGAACAAAAGCTGATTAGTTTTTTAAAAAGGAAAAATGAAGCTCTTGGTCATCTGCTAAGTAAATCTGCTGTTTGTTTTGCATCTAAGCACAACATTTTCTTGTGATGGAAGCAATGTTACTGGTTATCTTACTAAACTGTTATGGAGAAAGCTGATACGATTTTCTTCTAGTGATTAAGTTAAAGAACAGAATCTAAAATAATTCAGAAAAGGAGATCAAAACATCTCCACAAAAAAGATATAATAGCTTTCTTTATTCATTACATCAACATAAATAAAAAAGTCTGTTACAATCTCTTTTGAAATTAGCCTCACTGAATTCAGAGGATTTACTGCCAAGTTAAGTCTGTATAAAATTAAGCTGGATTATTGTGTCTTTCACTAACTGATGATGGGGATAGCTTATTTTTACTTACAGAAGAAGTAGAAAATCTATGATTGTTCAGATTACTTCCAGGTTCTGATGACTGATTAAGTGTCACCAAGTTGTTGATTTTTAGTGACTACGTAGGTAGAATTTCTCCATGACAATCTGCCTCTAACTTTGTCTTTCCTTCTACTTTCTCCAGTATTAGAGAATTCTCTAGAGAATTGGGTCTTCATATAATGTGTCTGAAGTAGGATAATTTGAGTTTGGTCATTTGTGCCATGAGTCAGAACTCTAGACTGATTTGTTCAATGATTAATATATTTCTTTTCTTGGTGTCTATGGTAGTCTCAGAATCTTTTCAAAGACCAAAATCCAAAAGCATCTATACTAAATGCACTTATGACTGTTGCAGTGTCCCCACGGTCACATAACCAAACTTCAGGTGTTTGGCAACCATTGTGCATTTATAATACTTGCAGTGTCCTATGATCATGTGGTCATCATTTGCAACCTTCCCAAATGACTTCCAACAAGCAAAGTCCATGGGAAAATTCGTAGGGAAGATGACAAATCATGATCATGTAATGCCTCATAGTGATTAGTTTAACAACCATGGCAAAAAAGATCATAGAATTGAGTGCAGTCATGTGATGCCTCACTTAATGACTGCATTGCTTAACAACAAATTCTTTGGTCCCAATTGTGATTGAGAGTCAAGGATTACCTTTATGAAACAAGGATGCTACTTTTTACCAAACCATGTAAATAGATTTTTCAGCTGTGACATGTGTATTCTGCTGGCTCTGCATTTCTCTTTAATCTAAGCTTAATTTTCCTTTGTCATTAAAAAAAATCCCCAAATATGGAAGTAAGTTGGCAAGCTTCTGCAAGTTTTTAGTAGATGCGTAAGTAGGAGAATAACAAACAAAGAAGCACTGGGAAAGGAGGAACAGACTTAAATATAACCTCCATTTATTTGGGAATACACCCCAATGAATTGAATAGAGGATAAGTAAAAGTTGTTTGGGATTCTATTTTAAGCATACTACTTATTATCTTGTCTATTGGGATAAAAGGGATATTTATCATATTTCTCAAGTACAGCATATAGAGTTTACTAAGAAAATATTTTCTCTTTTAGTTGCAAATGAAACCGGAGACAAGAATGCTCATCCCCTGTCGCGATTTGCTAGTAAGTAGCTTAGCCTGTTAATTTATTTCCTAAATGTTAGTAATAAATATATATTTGAAATGAGAAAGAAAGCCACAAATTCTCCCTTTCTCTAACATTTGAAGGACATGATGATGTTGATGACAACAGTGATGATGGTGATGATTCCTGCTATCTGTCTACTAACACAGGGGTCCCCAACTCCCAGTCCGTGGACCAGTACTGGGCCATGGCATACCAGTAATTGGGCTGCACAAAAAGCAAAGCCCGATGTGTGGCATGCAGGCAGCACATAAAACCACGCACCCTCCAGTCTGCAGAAAAACTTCTTTCCCCAAGTAACCGGTCCCTGGTGCCCAAAAGGTTGGGGATGCCTATGGAAGAAGTCAACTGCCCAGCTTTACAGCACATATAATTTGAAAAATAACTTGAAGGAAAGTCTCCTGACTGAAGGCATTTTTCACCAAGATTTTGGATGTTGGGGATCCCGAGATCCTTCTGGCTCCTCAAAGAAAAAATCCTGTCCTTCCTCTAAGCCAGTGGTTCTCAACCTTTCTAATGCCGCGACCCCATAATACAGTTCCCCATGTTGTGGTGACCCCCAACCACTTATACATCACTGGGTGCCAGGAGTGTGGCCAATGAAAAGGGGGGGGGGGAATGGCAGACAGCCTTGTTTGGCGACCCCTGTGAAATGGTCATTCGACCCCAAATGGGGTCCCGACCCACAGGTTGAGAACCACTGCTCTAAGCCTCCTTCTCTAGGAGTCCTGTCATTGAGTATGGAATTCCATAAAGTGATTTGTGGACAGTTGTTCCACACAATTCAGGTCCTAAAGAAAGAGGCTTGAAAGAATGTTGGTTGACAAGGAGTGGAGGTTTTAGAGTATTTCCTATTACATCCTATTTGCTCTTCCAGAAGACATTTGGAGACACAGTTGTGGTTCAGTAAACATACTTTCTCTTCTTTGAAAGACTGCCTAATTCACATTCAACAATAAGGGAAAGCTGGACATTTAAATGACTCCTATATAGTAAGAGAATGAAAAGTGCCAGGTCATCTGATTCTAACTTTCCTGATATGAAGGCATTTGCTGTATTTCACTGTAGTTTGCAAAAAACATTTCTAACTTTCCACCAGTAAGTATGCATCTGCAAATGCAGGTTTCACTGAGTTTTTGGGGAAACAGTTTTAAAACCAAAGGTGAAGGTAACGTTACTAGATTTTGCTTAAAATAATGAATTTTATTCTTTTGGCAATGAGTAAATTGTGCGTGTTCAATAGTACAAACTCAGTAGATAGATGCAAATAGATGCAATATTCCTACAAAGTCACATGGTGGCAGTGTTACTTAATTTTAAACACCACTGGCCTGTCACATTGTCTACACAAATCAGTTAAACAGATTTACTCCCTCCCCCCTCTCTCCATGTGTACATTCTGTAACCCCTCAAGACATAAGGAGATTTATTTTTTAAATTTGGGGACACTACATAGTGAAGTTATCAGTATGAGGAGTAATAAGGTCAAGTGGCTAGAAATTCTGTGGATTTCTTTCTACAGCAATTTTGAGATTACGTGAAAAAATGCATATTTTAATTCTATAATTTGAATAATTTTCCCAAAACCATTTTCTGAATCTGGAATCTTCAAAATGATATTGGAATATCCCTTGACAGGCACCAAGTTCTCTGCCTGATCTGACTTCATTATTATTTTATAGTAATATGTTATTAATGTATACTCTATGTTAACATAAATGGCCTCTTTGATCCCTCTTTCAAACCAGAATGTGGACCTAGGCAAATTTTGGGCAGAGAGGACTGCTGTTTGAAAGAGAGGTCAGAGAGGCCATGTCCATTAAGACTGAACAGCCCTCTCCCGACAGAGGGGGAGGGATAGAATGATTATGGCAAAAGAAAGCAAAGACAGAAGTAACAGTAATAAGTGCAACAATTGGAGCACGTATACCAATGGCATTGACAAAATTATTGTCTGTCAATCAAGACAAAAGGGAAGACATGATAGCAGTATTCAGGGCTTTTTTTTTTGTCACAGAACACCCAGAACGGAGTTCTGGCACCTTTTTTGAATGGAACCTTGTAGGGTAGGCAAGGCGGATTGCATGGCATGTGTGAGTTCTGGCACCTTTTTTTTAATATATATACAAAAAAAAAAAAAGCACTGGCAGTATTCCAGTATTTGAGAGGCTGCCACAAAGAGGAGACAGTCAATCTATTTTCCAAAGTACCAGAAGGCAAGACAAGAAATAATGATTAGAAACTAATCAAGGAGAGAGGCAACCTGGAATTAAGAAGAAACTTCCTTACAACAAGGACAATTAACCAGTGGAACAGCTTGCCTTCAGATGTTGTGGGTGCTTCATCATTGGAGGTTTTTAAAAAGAGATTGGACAGTTTTCTGAAATGGTATAGGATCTCCTGCTTGAGCAGGGGGATGGACTAGAACAGGGATAGACAACCTTGGCTCTTTTATGACTCATGGACTTCAACTCTCAGAATTCCTGAGCCAGAATGGCTCAGCTTGGAAACCTGTCCCTTTCCCCTCAGAAATGGCTGGCTCAGGAATTCTGGGAGTTGAAGTCCATGAGTCATAAAAGAGCCAAGATTGCCTATCCCTGGCCTTCCAAGGTCCCTTCCAGCTCTATTTTGATTAATTGATAATTACAAAAGGTAGCTTTACTTGGAACAGCCTTTGACAATATTTTTAGCGCCACCAAACAACATCTGAATACCTCACATCCTTGGGAAGGACTCAATAGGTAGATAAAACTGCCAAATCCAGTCTAAACATACCGTAAATGCCGGCGTATAAGACGACTTCCACGAGTGCTGAAATCGGCGCCAAAGACGGGGGTCATCTTATACGCCGAGTCGTCTTATACGCCGGAAATACTGGTAGTTTCCGGCGTATAAGACGACGTTCTAGGAATGCGGCCCGGCTATAAAGACGGGGGTCGTCTTATACGCCGGGTCGCCTAATACGGCGGCATATACGGGTAATAGGAATTTTAAAAAAGGAAGCTGATATGATGCAAAGCAAGAACAAGTCACAAACATCTTTCTTCCTATATATTTTTATGCATGCCAATGGCCCCATAAGCTCTGTTACAATGATGGATCTTTTGTTTAGACATACTTGCCCAAGAAAAACGATGCTTGATAGCAGGGAGTATCCTGTGGTAACACTGTGGAAGCAAAAAGCTAAACAGGATGGCAGTAAACATCCAGATAAACTAATTCTTTATAGGCAGTTATGTTCTCTCTGGCAAACCCAGAGCAGCAATTTTCTTTGAGTATCCACAAAATGATCTCAAAATTGGCCCAGAGAGACACACAAAAATGGTATCTCCAGCCTTAGGGGAATTATCTGGCAAGAATATCCAACATTTAGTGCAGGGTTTTGAGAAATACTTTTCTTGGACTATAATACAATAACAATGTCTTCAGGTATAACTCATTTCCTGGTAAGTATAACTATACCGTTTTCTTAACACTTAGAGAAATGGTGTGTAATCATTTCCTTCTGGGATCTTTGTGTTTTTAATCCCTAATTTAGCATATTTGTACATCACATGCAATGAACATGAAGAGAAAATGCCAGATTATAATTTTTAATTTTCATTCTCTGATATAAAACTTCACTCAACGACTCATCTCTCTATCCATCCTCATCTCAAAAACTAGTTGGCCTGTTTTGAATTTCTGAGGTATCAAGGCAGGAAACCTGCCTGTTCACTGTATCCTATTCTGTATGAGGGCTAATTTACATATATAGTTTACAACTTCAGATGAAGATTGGTTAATTCCAGCTTGGTAATATTCTCAATTCTGGTACTTTTCAAGTTGAGTGTCATCTGCTTACATGGAAATGGCTTTGAAAATCATTTTTTGGGAACTTCCTTTAACTATATATTTTTAGAAGTCTTAATTCTGGTATTTTTCTATAGGTTGTGTAAGCCAACATTTATAAAGGAAAAAAACACCTTCTACCTATTTAGTCTGCTTTGAATAACAACCTTCTAAGCTGGGTGCCTCTCTCCAACCACATTTCCCAATTCATAAGGATTTGGTATACCGATTCAAGAAAGATGGGCTTCAATAAGGGCTCTTATCGAAATCCAATTCTGAAAAGAAAAAAACAGTTATGAGAAAAGACAGGTTGTTAAGTGTAATACAAATTAATTTCCATAGATCCAATTTCTCTGAAAATATTGCATGTCTTCATCCTAAAGATGATATTTTTTTCTCCTCTCTACCAAATTCGTCACATGAGTTGTTTAAATTACACATAGGACCAAAATAGAAAAGTTTGTACGTACCCTGTCTGGGTTGAATACAGGTGAATCTGGATGGTAGTGAAAAATCTCAGCTGTCATGTATCTATTTCATGCCCATTGCAAGATCTCTCAGTGTTTCCTGAAGCAAAAATGACTGCATGGTAATTGTAGCAGTGTAAAGTCATTTCTCTGATTAAGAAAGTGGAGCGATCTCAGACATTGGACATGTTAATCCTGGAAGAGTAGGCAGCTACATTTCACACATTTAAAGCTCATTTGGAATGTCTAAATTGTAGTTTTCTTGAAAGAAGCATTTGCTAGAGAATCTGTCAAAGGGAACTGTCATTTAAAAAATATACTTTGTCATGCTTTTCCTGGTTATAATTTTATTGATTTAAATGCACAACTTCTGCATGTGTCTGTATGAAAATATAAAAAAGCATGTATTCTTTAAAGTACTTGTAATGCAGTGAAAGAATTTTGTTTAACCTACTGTATTAGGAAATACATTTAAAATGTTATTCTACCTTATCTTTTAAAACCTTAATCCTTCCAAAATAGAAAAGAGCCAAAATTATGGGTTCTCTGGCTAATGACTTAATGTCCTCAGCCACGTTCTGGAGGCATTTGAAACCAATTCCCCACTCCCCCCTCTTTTTAACGAAATGTGTGACTTCCAATTACAAAGAAGTTGTGCACCCCTGCTAAATTTAGAGTCTAACTTTCTTACTGTTATCACTGACTGTATAGACCAGAGGTGTCAAACTGCTGGCCTGCAGGCTGGATGCCTCATGCTGAAACCACACTCACCCCATTGTTGGCAATGGAGAAAAAGTCGTGATATGTCATGACACATCATGTGATGTTGCGAGTTTGACACCCCTGGTATAGACAGGGGCTAGTGTGAGTTGAGGGACAGCAATATACCTAGAGGTCCACAAGACGGAATTATAGACTTTGATGAAGTCTCTTTTCTTAGCCTCATAGTGGAACTGAAAGCAGACAGAATGGTTGGAGCATCTGACATCATTCACCAGATCAATTAGAAACATTAGCTGCATTTGCACAGCATTCCATAATTCATTTTAATTTAGATTTTTTTTGTGACTTCACAAAAAAGCTGTTGAAATGTAAGTTTTACTGCAGTGTGTGAATTCCAGAAAAACAGTTAATTTATTCATCAAGTTAAGTCTGCTGATCAGTTCAGCCAATTTTACCAGTAGCCTTTGGCCCCAGAAAAGATAAAACTTTCATGTTGCATTATTAAAATTTGCTTTGTCTTCTCTTTTATCTATTCAGGATCAAAATCTCAGAGCTGCCTATGGAACACCATTATTGGTGGACTTACAGGAAACATCAAGGAGAAACAGAAACCAATGATCATCCATGATCCAAGACCTCCTGAGGAAATCTTGGCAGATGAGCTGCCCCCAGTGGAAAGTCCTGATGCACTAGTGAAAACTTCATTCAGGTTTGGTGGATAATACAGATGTACTTATTTTATCATGAAATTATCTAACTTTCTGGGTAGACGGAGTAGTAGAGGTTGCTCTCGAGAGTCTTTCAAAAATTACTATGTAAGTAAGAGGATAATTTTACTGGAAAACCATTATGATGATATTAAATCTGACAGCTTTATTGAACGAAAAAATAAGCAACCAAGTCAGAACATTCAGAAAGAAATGAGAAACTATTGTGAATTCTGATCTCAAAGCAATTTTAAAAGCATACTGTCAAATTTGTTATCTTCTCTACCTTCCCTAGCTTCTTTTTTGTCACTAGCTGTTTTCTGGCTCAGAAATATCTAACACTTGAATAAAACAACTGGATAGCATAGTAGTTAGTGTACCCTCTTTCAGCTAGGTTTCAAATCTTAGCTGGTACTTACCTTACCAGCAGGAGTCCTTAGGCAGAGATTTCCTAACCATTCGCCTGGTGACTTCACATATGACATTGACACAAATTAGGAGACTCATGCCACCTCAGATCTTGTCTAGAAAACAAGGTCCATGTCAGATGTTTGGGGAACCAGGACAATCTGCGTTAATTGGGCTACTGGAATAAACCACACATGGATGAGACAGGAAAACCTGAAAATGATAAAATGTTACCACCAGAGTAGACTAATGAAAGGGGACCTAATTGAGAGTATGTGAAATGTCTGAGGGAATAATGGATGGACAGAAGAACTGCCTTACCAATAGAGTATCTTGGGCAAAGATCCTTAAAGTTTTACCTGCCTACCTCAAATGTGATAGTGACATAAATTAAAAGAATCATGCCAGCTTGGAACAATAAGTGGGTTACTGGATCAAACCATACATGGATGAGACAAAAGAATCTGGAATTGATGGAATGCTACCATATCAACAAATCTAATGAGAGGGGATATATAAAACATATGAGGGAACTAAGATGGGCAAATTACCTACATTTACACTGAGAAATAGCTAGTTATTTAATACTTCAACATAATGAAGAGGAAGCTGCTCTCTTAATTTGAGATAGATTAACTACACACACATCTCAGACTTAAAAAGACCTGGAAGGATAACTGGATGTGCAGCCAATACCTGGATCTACAGTGAGGACATTGGGTTATTATTCAGACTACAGAAGTATGGCTGAATAGTAGTCAAAAGAGGGAAGGTAGTTAAGACTGATAAGGTGGAACCATTAGACCACACATAGATCAGCTGCAAATATCTCGGTATTCTATAGCCACATAGAAACTATAACAAGGAGGCAAGAAATAAACATCGAAGTACCATCAAAGATAAGAAAAGTCCTGAAGAGCCAATTCAATGGAAAGAATATGATCCATCAACATAAATGGCCTACCAGCCATTAGATATCTGGATGGTATAATGAGCCGGCCAAAGGAAAATATGGAGACTGCCAGTGTGAAGATCCAGAAGCTTCTCACAATGTACAGATGGATATTTCCAATCCAGGAAAAGTGGTGGAAGGAGTACTCAGGACTCCGATTTCTATACTGGGAAATTGGTTCCAACCGATCCAATGAATGATATAAGAGCTCTTTAGGAACAGCTATGATACTGTGCATAATCCTCAAATTTCCAGACCTCTGACAGAAGACCTGAGATTGAAAAAGACATAATTCTCCCATGCCACTCACTAATATTTCATGTGTTTTTCCACTGCTTCTTCTGAAATGTGATTTTTTTTATTTTACCAATTTCTACAAACCTGGTGTTACCTAGAAGTTACTCTTCCAAATAATAGCTAGGCCTGTTGAGAAAACTCCAGGGAAGAACTTCTGGGAGCTTGAGGAAAGGATGTTCTTACCATTTAAAGAGAGAAGGACTAGTTTCATCTCCTTGTACTTTGGATATTCTTAGTCATTTGAGGTTGCTGTACTTTCTCTGACATTTGAAGGGTTCCTAAATCTTTTAGCTTTCCAAAAGGTTCTCCCTAGCATTGGGCTAGGATGAGGTTAATCAGGATGTTGGCTGAGTGGAGTGTTTTGCTTTTTTATTGGCTGTTATAAGCCACCTAGGCTTATAATGAGACAGATAGCCATGCAAGTTCTTTATATGAATCCGTAAGGAAAGAAGATTACCTGAACAGAGAAGGTCCCATTTCTAACTAAATAGGCAAAAGATATGGAGTGAAACTTACAGTGGTGCAAAATAAATAAATAAAAAAATAAATAAAAAATGAAGCCATTAATAAAGGATGTTGGGAAATTATTCTGATAATGACCTGTTTAGATGAAAATTCTTGTGTTAGTTATTACCTCAACTATTAGGAAGAATTCACCACTGCTGGAAGCAAAATCTCTATTGGATGCAAAGTTGAAGAAAGAGATGTTGCATCTTCAGTTTTCTTTTCTTCAGATAAGAAAAGAAATAGGACAGGAGATCATTAGCATTATTGTAAACTAGTCATTGCCCAGTTTTAGAATTGCAGAGTTGACCCATTGGATGTATCAATATACAAAACTGCAGAATTGTCTGATAGATCAAATAATTACAATATTTTAAATTGATATTTTAGTACCTTTAATAAACATTCACATATGATCTGTGAAAAGCTCTTTCTAAAAGAGGATGTTCAGGGCACTTTAGTATTAAGCATTTTGGATTATCCTTCTTTACACTTAAAGAGTTCCTAAACCATGTAAAAATCCAATTAGTTTTTAGTATTGGATGTCAGTATAACTTCTTTTCAGATTACAGCACATTGATTGGGGATTACAAAGGGTAAGAATTTACAATCTTGGTGCTGGACTATGTGGCCAGGAAAATACTCAAAGCTGTATTCTAGGTCTGTGTAAAGCCTGAATTACAGTATGGATTCAGGACAGTTTTTCATTTATCTGAAGTGAAACTGAGGAATTTAATCCTTTTTGTTCTGATTCAAAACTCTTTATGAAGTGCTATTTCTAGTGTGTTTCTTTAAAAATTGGCATTTTGCTAATAATGACCCGCACCCCAGACAATTCTTTACGTAGAAGACCTTGGAGAGAGGAGGGAAAGAAATAATCCATTGATTATTGGAATCAGTGGCTGATAGGTCTTCCTTCAAACCAGAGTGACTCTTCAGATCATTAGGATCAGACAACTGCTCATTTGTCTTATTAGATATCTTGGGGAAGATGGAATAGTTGTGGAGGGAAGATCTTAGTTTTAATGTTTGCTCCAACTCAGTATTGCCTAATCTGCCATCTCATGGTTATGATGCTTTGGGACTATGTAAATTAGGTGACTAGATTAATAACTGTTTTATTTTATGGAAAAGATAGAATAAGTGCACTGCATTCAGGGAAGAGATCATACAGGTAGTCCTAATTTAGCAACCACAGTTGGGACCTGCAATTTAGTCATTAAGAGAAATGGTCGCTAAGTGAAACCACAACTGTTTTTGTGATTTTACTTCATCTTTCATTTGCTTTGCAGACCTGAAAAGGTCAAAAATGCAAGGATTAGTCAAAAAGCTACTTTTCATCACTATGGCAACTGCATACAGGCACTAAATGAGACAGTCATTAAATGAGACTACATTAATTCCATATAATCTGCTTTGCTTGTTTTAAATTTGACTGTTATGTTCCTTGTAATATCTTTCCTGCAGTTTTCATATATTCTGACTATAACATTTGATGAATTCTACCCTGAAGCAAAAATATTATGAACATATTTTTTAAAATCCAAGATTTTAAAAGTGTCTATGCTTATAAGGAATCTGAACAGCTTACTCATGTCTAATAGTCCAGATTTCCCGAAAATGAGTTCCTGGTTTGAACTGTTTAATTTTTAAAATTTATTCTTGATAACAAGAGGGCAAAACCTCAACAATTAAACTCAGACATTGGGATGGTCCAGGGTGAATTACATAACTTACAAAAATGAGTTCTATCGTATTTCCCCCAAAATAAGCCCCATCCCCCCAAAAAGACCTACCCTGATTTTTGGGGGTGGGCCTAATATAAGCCCTATCCCCCAAAATAAGCCCTAATTAGGACCCCACCCAATCAGTCCCACCTCGCTGCCACAATGTGGCAAGAGGTTGTGCAGCAACACAATGAGGCAAGGCAGATGGGGGGAGGGAGTAGAGCTGCCCCATGCGCCCCACTCTCGCGCTTCCTTCAGGACCCCCAGCCAGGCTATTCCTTGCTTGGCAACCTTCCCTTTCACTCCCCTCCTGAGCCGGACTGCCATACTATGGAGGATGGGTGGGATAGGCCTGGTCCCCCCCTGCCATTTCAGAGCCAGGGGAGAGTGACGGCAAAAGGCTCTGCTGCCACTGTGCATTGCTGGAGGGGCTTTCTTCATGTTTTGCCACACAGATTGCCTGCCCAGCGACAGCCTCCTCCTCTTCCTCCTCTGCCAACTCTCCCGCCAACTCTCCCCTGAACTAAAAAAGGTTCAGTCAGACCTTCCAACGTCTCATGAAAAAAAGATCTTGCGAGAAGTTGGAAGGTCTGCCAACGGAGTCCCACAAACTCTGTTTCTCTGCTGCAAGAGAGAAACTTGCCAGAGCTGGAATGCAGGTTAGTGTTTAAATTTTTTGCTTTCAGGAGGAAAAGCATCAGGAAACAGGGCTGCCATTTTCAGAATGGAGAAGGGAGACACCGGGCAATGCAGGGAGGCAAGCATTCTCCATTCTCTCCAGTGGCAGTGATGGAGGGCTGGCGAAAGGAGGTGGCAGGGGAGGCTTGCGCCACCTGGCCATGGTGCAAGCCACGGGAAAGTTGGTGAGGGAGAAGGAGGCGGCGGCTGCTGCCAGGCAGGGGATCCGTGGGGCAAAGCATGAAGAAAGCCCCTCCAGCAGTGCAAGCAGCAATGGGGCCTTTCGCCATCATTTCCCCTGGCTCCAAAATGGTGGCCCATCTTCCATAGCATGGCAGTCCAGCTTGGGAGGGGAGTGAAAGGGAAGGTTGCCAAGCAACCTGAAGGAAGCGAGTGCAGGGTGCATGGGGCAGCTCCATCTCCTCCCTTACCTATC